CGCCAATACACTCCTTGTCTTGAAGTGCCTGGCCATCATTGTCCCCAATCCTCCAACACAAACGTGTCCTCCATGTCAAGCACCTCTCAGTCACAGCATACCTTCGACAGCACCAGATCAGACCAAATCATGGCCTGTCCTGGCGCAAACCCGTCTCGAAATTTCTGATAAGGTGCATTAGTGGATCAGCGTACGGGTACCCGGCCGAGCCTATCCCACTCTAGTACGCAGCGGAAACCTAGCCGTATCCGACATGATATGGCCGGGCACTTCAACACAAACGGGGTTTGTGTTTACAAGGGGTCAGCCGGATCTCAGCTCACGGCTCCTTTTCACCTGCATCGCTGCGGTACACAAGCCCAATTCACCTCTTCATCTCTCACCAGCGGAAACAGCCCGAAACGGCACAGACAACCTTCCTGGAGAGTTACGTTACAAAATGGGCCGTAGCGGTATGCCTCACCCTCACCGAAGACGATTGGTACACCGCACCTGCTGTGGTACATATTCACCGAACAGTACCCTGCGGCCATATAGCCAAGAGGCAGCGTCCGACAGCGACCGGATCCGGGGCCAGAAGCAGGGCGAGGATGTTGTGCAGATGGGCTCCTGCGACGGCAGCACAGCGGTCAGACTGGCGCGGCCCCGTTTCCTTTGGGGGGGAGTAGGCAAGCCCACCTTTCCAGAATGCTAATCCGCTTGAGACGGCCCTGGCGCTGGTGTTGGGTCATCAGCTCTTGCTGCTCCTTAACCCTGGCCCGCGGGTCAGGGGTACGCTATCACTTCTCAGCTTTGAGCGCCGAACCACTGCGTGCGCGGAATGGGACGCTGCTGTCTTGGAACGATTTGCCGGCTGTCCACTCACCGGACACTGTTGCAGCGCAGAGAGGGGGATGCCGGGGTTTGGCAAAGATCAGAACATGCATGCATGGAATCTTTGTCGTGCCGCGGCGTGGAAACACGCCTTCCGCTCGCGGTCAAATATTCTCGTCAGGACGTTGCAAACTACATGTCCTCCACCCTCCCCACACCTCGGGTACCATGTCGTCGGGATCTAAGAGAGAGGCTTTTTTCAAGCTGCGAGACGAGCCAGGGCCGTTGACGCGGCATGTCGCCCATTGGTCGCGGGTCTTTCGTCGTCTCCCTTCCTTCACTTGTCATATGCTCTGTCACTTTGGCGGCACGTCCATCAGAGGTTCAGTCATCTAAACATACAGCAATTCTCACAGGGTCTTCAGGGCCGTTGAGCCAAACTGCTTTACGTCGTGTGTGCCGTTATCGTTGACTTTTAATCGGATAAATATAGAGTCTCGGCTGTCTCGGCCATCTACTATGTAATGATCTGTGCTTGTGAGTTAAGTGGTCGGTCTAGGAAGGGAGGAAGGCCCCCTCCTTCTTCCTCCCGAGAAGGTTGACGCTCCCTTCTCCGACTCTCTCCGCTCCAAGCCCCCCCCCCCGGGCGCTATGTGGACGTTTTCCGCTGGCGGGGGCTCTCCCGCAAAAGGCTGGCCATCGCATGCCCGAGTTACAAGTATTAGGGATAATTCTCTTTAAACACGAACCTAGAATCTGCTGAACACGTTACACTCGGCGTGCGCGGTCGTATCCTACACATGTCTTTGACCCCTCCCATAGTCTCGAGAGTGCGTCCGGGATATATGCTTTGCAAGAACACGGGCCGAGTTTTTCGGGTTCGACTGTGTCAGTTGTTGAGCCGGGGGTCCGCGTCTGCCGGCGGCTTCAGGTGACGGCCTCGGATCGCGAGACGTCTCCCATGTTTGCTAGGCTCGACAGCTTGTTGGCCTGGTGCTCAACTACCATTGGAAGGTACCGGCGACTATGAAATACTAGGAAAGGTTGGGCTTGGCCCTTGGTACACAGAGCGGATGACCCCACGGGCAGTGGGCTCTTGTGGCCTTTGGAGTTCGGTTAGGATCTGACGATATCTCCAGACCCCTCTACTCGTGGCTCTTGCACTCTCTCTAGCCCAACTTCTATGCATGGTATACCGACGACGGGATGATGCTTTAAGGGCATAGGTTCATCTCGGCACTGAGATTAAACTCGCAACTCTCGTCATTTAAGGCTAGCTGAGATGCCGGATGGTCGGCAGGGTGGGCGTAGAGGATGGCATGACGTTTGGGCGGGGAGAGGTTCAGGGGCGTGTATCATCAGCGGAGGGGACGCGGGGCGAGTGGTGGGGGTTTGTCTTCTTTCCTTCGCTCAATTTGTATCCTCGCGCAGCTGTCCATTGTTATAGAATGAATGCAACAAGGACAACTATCCGTATTGATGTTGGCAGCCGCTTGGTCCGTCGGATGTTAAGCAAGCGGGTTCGTCAAAACCCAGGTTGTCGTCAATGTTCACTGCAAACCTCAACTCAAATCGGAATTTATGTTTCTTCGAAACATGCTCAACATAATTGCTGCAACAAAATCAACGGATCCTTTTGCGTGCCATACGCAGCAGCAAGATTTATATGGCGGTAAGGGTCTACGGCAAAAATGTGAGGGTCTTGACCACCACGCACATATCTGGCATCGTCGCCCACCAGCGCAAAAATGCGTGCTTATCACACGTATTAAAAAGAACAAAAACATACAACACCAGGTATTCGCTGATCGTCACCGACTCAACTACTAATCCGGCCCTCACTGGCTTATCTATGGGAGAGCGGACGGGATCCCGAGTTTTCCAGTGGGTGTGGTCGTATGTGCTTGGAAGTGGCACTGAGGATGGCTATAACGCTCTGTGGACGACGATTGTTCGGACGCGTGACGCCGCGTAGGGCGTGATGTGATATTGGCAGACTTCGGTCTCGTCCATAATCTCGATCAAATCGTCAGTCTTCTTGTTCTTTGGGAGGCCCGACCCGGAGTTCATGCTCCTTGAGAATCGGTCGCAACAAGAGAGCTCTGGCAACCTCCGTCGAAACTCCCAGCTGGCTTATCGCATGATACCCGGATCGATCGAAGAGCTCTGGATAACAATCCCGCCGTGACGATGCAGCATCGTGACCGCGTCCCAGGCTTGTACGACTGTGGCCCCCAGAACGTCCCCGAGAACGTGACAATGACGCGTGCGCAGAGAATATTCCCGGATATGTCAGGTTTTTGATAACTTTGTCTGGGAAGGCAAGTCTATCAGTGACCGATCGGAAACAGGGGTATTTGAACGACTATTGTGAGTCGCTAGGCGAGTTGACAGTGATGCCGAGAACTGACTTTCTACTAAGCTCCCACGTGTTTAGGATTGAAACAATCTCTTGAAGGCGTCTGCGATGAATCTGTTGCCGGCGTTGTCCAACCCCCAAGCTTCCGAGTCGTCTGTTGAGCATGCTCTACAATCGTACAGCTTTTCCACATGAAACCACATGTATGTAGCCTGGCTTCTCTTGCGGAGAATAGCCGCAGAGTCGGAACCGGAGAGGCACAGTACTGTCAGGGCCGGCCTCAGCAAAGTTGAGTGCCTCAATGATTGATTGTTATTGTCGCGAGACGGTAGCGAGGTAGACGAACCTAAGAGCTGCAGGCATCGGACGTCTCTGACTGGTACAGAAAAGAAGAATTACGGTTCTCAAGGAGGATAAAGGAGGGCCTGGCATTAGTCAAACAGCTAGGAATCTTGTTGGAATATGTTACTAAGATGGTCTCTTATAAGGTCGCACAGGCATATAATCGAAAAAGACAGCACTCAAAAATCTCTAGTCTCAACGTTTCAGATAATAGTCATTCGCCCTATTCTAATTGGAAAAGAAAAAGAAAAAAAATAGGCTAGAGGAACCTTGCTTTCATCTTTATAGCAATCCAGAATCTAAGCACAACCCCTCCTCTCTTAGCTACTTACGTTCCCTAACCACAACGGCGGCCATTCTAGATTGTTTCAAGGATCAAAAGTCGCTATTTAACTCGAGGGGCGAGGATAAAAAGATCTCCTCGACGGGGAATTGAACCCCGGTCCCCTGCGAGTTGCTGCTTTCGCAGTGACAAGCAGATATCCTCACCACTAGACTATCGGGGATGTATGGATGTTGGCATCCAATGATAGTAGGCTGGGGATGAGGTTAGTTTTTACATTTATAACCCACTAATCATCAGCGGGGCTCGTGCACAGACATTTGGAGTCCGCTGCAGGCAGTCGCCACTGTAGCATGCCCTGAGTAAAATATCCAATGGCAAGACACTTATTGAAGCTGACGCGACAAGTTCTAAGCAGAGGTGTACTATGTATAATTTCGAATAACTTAGCGATTAATCTATCTTTTACGAGCCGGCGACATGGCTAGTCGGTCCAGCTTGCTCGGGGCTGCGCCCACCACGCCCAGTGAGTTGAGACAGGAATTGGAACCCTTGAACGGTTCCGTTCGACACACACATAGGCCGGCTGTCGACCAAAAATGCAAAGCAGGCTCTTCCTTGATCGAATCCAAGCAAGGTGTGCAAATTTTGCAATAGAAAATGCCCCCACCACCACCTCAAAGTGGCCAAGGAATCACAAACAGCTTTACCCATCACTCCCATGCTAAGTGAACTTCAGCCCAGCTGCTGAGAGGCCGCACAGTCAAATCCCTATGTAATTTGATCGTCATACAAAACTGACCAAGCCGCTTTTGAGGCATTGCTTGCTTAGTTTGATCTCACGTCCGCTCTCATAGACCTGTAGCGATTCATACACCTATATCAGGCATTTCAAGAAGATGCTCAACCCACCACTGCGGTTTGGCTTTCTGGGAATAAAAAAAAAAAAAAAACCAAGCCGAGTCTCTGGGACCCATTCTCATGGATGTCAAGTTGTCTGGACTGAAGCTCAATCCCCACCTTGCAATATCCCTCATCCCTCGAGTATCCATCGCTGTTCATCGTTACTTTGCCTAAATGAGACGGCTTCCGTCCCCGCAGCCTCGCAGAGTACCTCTTGTATGGGACATAAGCCAGTGTAATCTGCCTACGAGCATCCACCTCCCCATCTTAGGATGCGGACCTTCAATCTCTTACAGCACAGGCCCTGTGGCTCAACGGTAGAGCAGTCGACTCCAGATCGGAAGGTTATCTGTTCAAATCAGGTCAGGGTCATGTAGTGAGATCTTCATTTTTTGTTGTTTTTGAAGCCGTGGTGATGTCGGTCTTAGATTCGTCGCTGGAAGCGGAGGAGCCGGACGAGAGTTTTGAGTCGGGAACTTGCGAAAGTGGGTTTCTCAGTAGGTGAACGCCTTCCGTTTGAAATCCGAATGAGTGGAAAGAACTCCTCCGGTGCTTGCGTATACATGTGCATAGAGGGTACATAGCCAACCTCACAGGCATCCTCCGAAGGTGAATGTTGGCTAGTCACACGTTAAACAGTGTTGGTTCAATCTCATGATTGTGATATTGGTGAAGATGAAAGGTCGAAGAGGGCAGTCCGGCTGTGCGCGATATGTGGGCGAAGGTGGTAGCTTGCCAGCCACATACACTCGATCCGGCCGCTGTTGCCTTTCGCCCTCAGGTACCAACAGTAAGATCAACTAAAGTGCATCGACCTAGCTTAACCCATCTTCCTCATGTCTTTGTTTGTTTCTTACTTTTTTACTTTTGCTGCACTGCTTAACTACCGATTTCGCCACACCATCACGCCGCGACATGACGCGATGTTGTCCATCACAGCCCGCTCTTCCTGCCAGATTGAAAACAGTTGTCGGGAGAGCTGTGTGGTTGGTCAGTATTATTACCTAGCTAGTAGCTACTAGCCGGCGCCACTATATAATGCAAAACGGGACTCTCATCACTGAAGCTAATCCTTCATAGTACATGTCACAACTTGCGTGTGACAGTAAACACAATTTTGAGGTCATTGGATTATATTACTTCATTAAGATGCTCCAAGACGGACGTTCCTAGTAACATGGATCGGTGGCTTCCTCGTAAGTATGCTTAACCTTAAGAAGTCGGGTCATCCGGGTTCGCAAGCTTCGGCTTCTTAGGCGGAGGAATGTCAGCGTCCGGGTCGTCAGAGCCTGGGTCATCAGAGCCCGGGTCATCAGAGCCCGCATCGTCAAAGCCCGGGTCGTCAGAGCCCGGGTCGTTAGGCGGAGGAATGTCATCGTCCGGGTTGTCAGAGCCCGGGCCGTTAGGCGGAGGAATGTCATCATCCGGGTTGTTAGGCGGAGGAATGTCATCGTCAGGGTCCGACATGTCAGGGTCCGGGATGTCGCTTCCCGAATCGCCCGAAGGATCATCATCATCATCCGCCGGATCGCCCGAAGGATCATCATCATCATCCCCCGGACCGCTCGGAATGTCATCCCCCGGAACCCCAGGGTCTGGAGTCCCCTGATCAGGGGACGGTTGTACGATACAATCAGTCGCCGGTGGCAAGCCGGCATAGAAGCCGGACTTGAACGCAGCGTCCATATGGTTCTGGAAGTTGTTCGGTGTAAAAGGCACTTCGGTATGCTCGTACTTGACATGCGACAAGGAGTCTTTTGCTTTTTCGGGAAGAGAATCCCAGCTGGCAAGAGTACGCTGAAAGAGGAGTGGGCCGTCCTTCCCAGTGAAAGGGTAGAATTTCTCATCGTGGATCGTTAATTTGGGCTGGACAGGCTGGAGAATGCCCTCCGTTTGCGACTTGAAGGAAATATTCGAATTGGGGGCTGCTTCCCAGGTTAGGTGGTCGACTGTGTAAGATACACCGACTGGCATAACAGCTGTGGCATCAGTGGTGTCACAACTCTTTCGATTGGTCCAGACGATGACGCTGGCCCAGTAGTGGCGGTGTCCGTTTTCGCCGCCCTTGGCCCAGCGGACCTTTGGCATGTAGTAGCTGTACATGATCCCCATGCGGTTTCCGTCTCCACTCTTCCCGACGCGAGAGTAGACCTGGGCGGTTTTACCATCATCGCACTCACTTGCTCCACCCCCAGTAGGTCTCAAACCAGCACTATTTTGAACGTAGTTAGCTACTGGTATCATTGGAAGACCGAAAGGTTGCATGGGAAACGGCCAAGGGTGTTGCGGTTGCGTCTGCTTACCTGAGCCCTCCATCGGCTTGGACTCCGGGATACGGATCGCAACCTCCTCCATTGTAGAGCCAAGGGTTGAACCGAAGCTCCAACTCGCCAACGGTAGAACTGGGACTTTGAGGGAATGCGACGACCTCATCGTGGGGGACCCATTCGTATTTACCAGCGTTGTCACCAGAGCCGTCGTCACCAGAGTCTTTACCAGAGTCTTTACCAGAGTCTTTACCAGAGCCAGCATCATCGCGGGGCAACACCGCCCCAATGACGCCCTGGAACAGGAGAATGCCACACAGGAGTGGGCCAAGAGCTTTGGAGTACATGTTTTGCAAAGACAGAAAGAGCGACAAGTTAAAGAAAGGTGTTGTGGCAATGAACGGATGGATTCAATGAGATCCTGTTGAGAAAGTGGGAGTCGTACTATCGGATGAATCCATTGTCTATATACTTGTACATCGAAGACGAAGCAGCAATCTTGGGCTATGGCTAGCATGAAGCAAATCGTCCCAAATTACACTCACTAGTCAATTGCTGTCTACTGACAAAGTTAGTTTGATTGTAAACTAGTACCATTTGTGGCGATGCAACACAACAAATTGAATGATAGGAGAAGTGTCGGACAGTCCGATAGATACATCCAAGTAACAATAAGTCACAGCCCCACTTCCCGCTGAACCGCCAGAGTTCCCCACTCATAGGGTAGGCTGGTTAAAGGCAAATTAAAAGCTGTGAATTACTCTGTAGGTGTTATCCCGGGAACAAGAAGAGTTCTAGAGCGAGTCTGTGGAAGGAAACATACTACATATGCATGTCGCAGCCAACAGAACAGAAATGGAGAGCGGCATCTCAGAAACTCCGCATAGTCAGAATGTGTGGTGGCAATACTGATTTCTTCACGACAACTTCCGCACTGTTTCCCCCCCGTTAGCCTGACCCGAGGATTGGCATTGTTCTAATTCACAGGTCAAGAATAGTAGAGAATGTGACTGTGTATACAGCAAGCCGTAAGCGTGAGAGTGTATAAAATTCTGCCGAGATTAAGTACAGCATGTTGCTATGCTATTAATGAGGGAAGCATATCATACTGACTCAAGTAATACCTACCATTCATGTTGTGATGCCGGACATGGCGATATGGCCCACTACGTGGCCCACTTGGGCAGTGGATAAAGAATATACTGAGTCTTACATTTCAACAAGACAACCCGCGAAAACTTCGTTCTTCTTACAATGAAGAATAACCGCAGTGGCTCCGTCCACCAACCTGATCCCCTATAACGCCAACGGTACAGATATTACTAAAGTATAATACATCTAGGGAAATAACGATGTGCCGTATTGCCTGTTACTAACTTATAATAGTTTTTTTAGTTATTCTGTTTCTATCTATTTGCTTAGAACTCTTCTTTATTGTGTTAAGTATTAGGCATAGTACTTGTACTGTGTTTTTCTAGCTGCTACTATTATTGGGTACCTTGGCATCACCTGTTACTAATTAGAATTTGTAGTAGTTCAGAAGTTAACGTTATATCACGAGAAGGCAAACAACTACACAACGTAAAATGAAAAATAAAATAAAATAAAAATCACGAAGAATAACCCTATCAAATCCAATTTGCAAAGTAATGCACTTACGCCGCAGCCACGCCATTTCCAGCATTCTAGTAACCGTAAGCACAGTCCCGCCAGCAGTTTGCATTCAATCTCCATGCTGTGAGTTATGTTTGAGTCTACACATAAGGAAAAAACCATACGGAAAAAACTACATCTCACGCTGGCCCTACGTAATAACCCGGGCCCCAACCCACCCTGACTGCTAACCCTATTTTGGACTAGCTACTCTCAAGTTAATTAGGGCCAATCACTGTAGTCTGATCGCTCGTTAATATGTTCCGTCATGCACCGCATTAACCTATATAGTATGTATAACATCTGTAATCTAGTAGAGTTAGTTGTGCAAGGCATTTGGCATTAAAAGCCTACCAGAACACTGGATGGCCCGATCGACAACGTTGATCACACAGCAACGAATAGGCAGTAGACAGTTTTCAATCGACCACAGGGACATAATGCGCAGTTTGTTGTTAACTCCTTTCATTCTTCGTGTGCATCATCAATGATGGTGCAATCTCGTCTCATTATCCTTCCTGCTTAGGCTCATCTCGAGCTGCTTTGTCCACCTACACTACAACTCCGACCGACCTATGATCCGACCCAGGCTCCTACCCTTACGGAAGCCAGCGGCAAGGTCCCCACATGGAAGATCAACTTACCACAACGAGTAGGGATCAAGCAGAAGCCAACCCGAAACGATCCTATTCTTGACCTCCGCATGCTCTCGGCAAGCCCAGGAATTGACATCCCGGGAGCCTATGGTTACAACGGCACTGCCGGCCCAGGCACCACCGTCATAGTAATAGACGTCGGTCCCGTCAATGTCAAAACCCCGCTTTTGCAGCCGCTGGATCCACCGAATTAGGTGCATCTATAATTTAACCCCCGGTATTTGTCCGTCACACGCGAGAACGTCAACTTTCTAGATAACACAAGCGGAATCGAGGAACATTAGGCCTAACAACCTAGGTAGGCACATGCGTAGCTTCCGAGACTGTTGGCCAAGAGTTGAGGCACCCGGACGTGCCAATCTCACTACAGTCCGCGTCAACTTGGGAAAGTACGACCCGCTCGCCACTCGTAGAAAGGTGTCAAACATTATCAAGAAGGGTTGCAAGGCAAAGCTGTCGTAATGACCACCCTGATTGATATTTTGGGGCCCGGCGATGTCGAAAACGATAAAATGCACGGCAAATTGAAGGATGTCCTCGTAGATATCGTAGCGGATGATGTACCGTTCATCACCACAGCTGGCAACTACGGCGAGGATATACAAGAGGCCGGCCGATTCCCAGCTGCCGCAGTATCTAAATTACCCATAACTGTCGTCGGGTCGGTTGAGACCAGTAGGATGGAAGCGACAGAAAGCCAGAAAGACAGCACAGAGAGCCAGCGTGGAAGAATGGTAACAACCCACGCTTGTGGTTAGGAGATAAAGTGTGCAGACTGGACCCAGCTGAGTGGCGG